CGAATATATATCCCAATGTAATTTTTCTTCTATACGGACTCGCCTGAAGTTCCCAGTGCACTAATTAAAAGAATTAAAGTACTCTTTGCATACTCGACGATTTTCCAATTCGGAAGCATTGCATAACTTTTGAGTGTATTTATGGGGCACATGTCGTAACATGTCTTTATTTTGATGTTAATTTTTTTCAGTAAAATAGGTGGATTTTTCGGTTTAATAGCCAATCTTCTTATCAACGGTGAACGCTACGACCTTATGTATCCTGGTGTATTTTCTGGACACCCTCTTGGGCAATACAGGGCAGTCATGAACGCCAGTTATGACTTATGCATGATGAACCCCTGCCTTCACGGAGGAACTTGCTTTGTGGAAAATGAAGCTAAATGCCAATGCCTGCCAGGATTTCTGGGTAGTCGCTGCGGGCAAAGAGGTTTGTTGTAACTCTTACATTACCTCAACGACAAAGACTACATTAAGACGTCTTAAAAAATCTGACATTATCGGTGTACAGTAAACGTCAGCCAATAAGAAACAGTAGATTAAGAACCTCCCGACAGAAATTTTCCTTTATAATACAGTGTACCCAAAAATAAGATAACCTGTTAACAAAGGAGTATAGTTTTGAGTTGAAAATGGAAGTATAACGAGAACATACTGAACTTAACTGTATATAAATTCGGTAATCAGTTTTGTTAGGGTTATAATAATGCAATTGTGAGTGTTTTTTTTTTGGTAAACTGTTGTCACTGTTGTCCCTGTTGTCCCTGATGGCCCTATTGTCATTGTTATCACTGTTGTCGCTGTTGTCACTGTTATCACTGTTGTCACTTTTGTCCTTGTTGTCACTGTTGTTGCCCTGTTGTTGTCACTGTTGTCCCTGTCACATGTATCTCTGTTCTCATTGGTGTCGTTGTTTTCGTTGTTGTCACTATTGCCGCTGTTGTCCCTGTTGTCCCTATTGCCCCTGTTGCCCTGTTGTCTCTGTTGTTGTCCCTGTCCCTGTTGCTGTTGCCCCTGTTGTAACTGTTGCCGCCGTTGTCCCTGTCCGTGTTGTTACTGTTGTCACTGGTATCACTGTTGTCACTTTCGTCCCTGCCTTCACTGTTAACGTTGTTACCATTGTCCTTGCTGTCGCTGTTGTCCTTTTTGTCTCTCTTGCCACTGGTGTCTTTGTTTTCATTGTTGTTTTTGTTGTCCCAGTTTGTCACTGTTACCGCTGTTGTCCCTGTTCTCTCTGTCGCCCCAGTTGCCCCAGTTGCCCCTGTTGTCCCCGTTGTTTCTGTGGTTGACGATGTCCCTGTTGTCCTTGTTGTCCCTGTTCCCCTGTTGCCCCTGTTGTCCCTGTCCCTGTCGTCCTCGTTGTGCCGGTTGTCTCTGTTGTCTTCCTTGTCCTTGTTGTCCTGGTTGCCTCTTTTGTCCCCGTTGTCCTTGTTTTCCCTGTTGTTCTGGTTTTCCCGGTTGTCTTTGTTGTCCATGTTGTCCTTCTTTTCCCTGATTTCCTTGTTTCTCTGTTGTTTATTTTTCTGGTTGCCTGGTTATCCTGGTTGTCCTGGTTGTCCTGTTTGCCTCGGTTACCCTGGTTGTCTTGGTTGTCCTGGTTTTCCTGGTTGTCCCCAGTTGTCCCGGTTGTCCTCATTGTACTGGTTGTCTTGGATGTCCTGGTTTTCCTCGTTGTCCCAGATGTCCTGGTTGTTGCAGTTGTCTTTGTTGTCCTGGATGTCTCCTGGTTTTCCTGGTTGTCCTGAATGTCTTAGTTGTCCCAGTTGTCTCGGTTGTCCCGGTTTACCTTGTTGTCTTAGTTCTGTCCCGCCTGCATTGCCAATAAGTAACCCGAAATACAAGAACCCGTTTTGCCAAACAGACCAGTAAGTAGCATCTTTTTAGGCGTTTACTGTAGCACGATTACTTGTGGGCAAACTGTTCAGTAGTTTTAATTGTGGCCCACAATGTTAAGAATCATTACTGGCCGGATGTAAACCAGTTGGTTATTTACAAGCATGACGTTATGGTTATGTAGCTCTCGCCACAATAAGCTTGCGTTTAGGGCAAAGCTAAAAAGGCAATAAAACTAAGGGCCTGTTTAAATGGAGGTGGGTGAGGGGTAAACCGGATATCGGATACAAGCGTCAGTGAATTAGAATCTTATACCCATTTCATAATTTCAATTGTATTTGTTATTTATTTATCTTCCCCCTTTTTCAGTGTATTTTCTTCTAGTTAACACCCCACACGTTATAATTCACTTTTGTTTCTTACTTACCCGAATTAAAATGAAGTGAATAATCTGACTTACATGTACATGTAAAACGTAGGGTTCAATTAATTCTGTAATTGTTTACTTTTCAGCAAATGTACCATATTTTCAAGCTGGTACGGTCCAAAAAGATTCTTACATAAAATTTCAACCACTGGTTTTAAGAGAAGATGAATTTGCTGCCAGCTTCCAAATCCGCCCTGAAGCGGCCGCTGGCCTTATAATGTATTCTGGATCAGGGGAAGACTTTATCTCACTGGCCATGAGGGGAGGAAAACTGGAATTTAGGTAATATATCAATGCCCTACCAGAAGGGCGCGGTTTTTTTCTTAAAAAACAACTTTAAATGAAAATTGGTTTAAGGGACTAAACTTTTCTCTAACTAACTAGGGTTATTAGTTTCATTTGTACTGTCTTTTAACTCTTACCCTTTTTAAAACAGGTGAAGTGTCTCAACAGTGTCTTATCTTTTATTCATTTCCCTCTGTTTTTAGGTTTAATCTCGGCCAAGGCAAAGTAATCATTTCCACAAATTTCAATCTGGTTTTTAATCAGTGGTATCATGTGGAAATCATTCGAGTAGGTTTGCAAGGGACGCTAATAGTAAATAATGATGAATATGTATTCCGGGGCGTGGCACCTGGGACCTGGACAAACCTGAATTTAAAAGCAGCCGTAGTATACTTAGGGGGAGGAACAAGCTTCAATGGCGATGTGATGTAAGTACTATTTATAGTCGTACTGATTAAATAATATAGATCCTTTAAATGATGATGTAGAAAAAAATTCAATAAAAAATATTACCATAAACTTGAATTTGACCTTTAAACGTTTTATATTTACCGTATTTATTCGAATAAGCGCCCATCCAAAGAGTGTGTGATGTGAGACGTCTGATGTATGATCTCAGACGTCTGATGTCGGATGCATGATGTCTGATGTTTGTTGTCTGATGTCAGATGTCTCTTGTCTGATGTCAGACGTGTGATGTCTTTTGCGTAATGTATGATGTCTGATGTTTGTTGTCCTTTGTCAGACGTCTGATGGCTGATGTCTGATGTCAGACCTCTGATATCAGATGTCTGATGTCTAATGTCAGACGTCTGATATCGGGCGTCTGGTGTCAGACGTCTGATTTCAGCTGTCTGATGTCTGATGTCTAATGTCAGACACGTCTGATGTCTGTTGTCTGATATGAGACGTGTGATGTGAGACGTCTGATGTATGATGTCAGACGTCTGATGTCTGATATTTGTTGTCTGATGTCTGGTGTCAAACATCAGACACCAGACATTATACGTCTGACATCAGACAACAAACATCAGACTTTATACATCAGACATCAGATGTCTGAGATCATACATCATACGTCTGACATCAGACAAGAGACGACAGACATCAAACGTGTCTGACATCAGATGTCTGTTGTCAGGTATCTGACATCAGATGTTTGACATTAGATGTATGACATTAGACATCAAACATCAGACGTCTGAAATCAGACGTCTGACATCTGATATCTTAGTCTGACATCAGACATCATACATCAGACACCATACATCAGACATCTGACATCAGACAACAAACATCAGACGCGAGACGTGAGACATCATTATACATCAGAAATCATACATCAATCATCAGATGTCTGATGTCTGATGTCAGATATCTGAAGTCAGACGTCTGACATGAAACATCACACAACATACATCAAATATCAGATGTCTGACATTAGACATCAAACATCAGACATCTAAAATCAGACATCTCACATCAACCGTCTGACATCAGATACATGATATCAGACAGCTGACATTAGACATCAGACATCAGACGTCTGACATCGGACATCTCATATCAGACATCAGACATCAGACGTCTCGCATAGGACAACAAACATCAGACATCTTACATCATGCAAACACATTAGACATCAGACGTTTGACATCAGAAATCAGACACCTGATATTATACATCAGACATCTGACATCAGACATCATACAAAAGACATCATACGTCTGACATCAGACATCAGACGTCTGATCTATCTGATGATTGATGTATGATGTATGATGTATGATGTTTAACGTCTTGTGTCTGATGATTGTTGTCTGATGTCAGATGTTTGATGTATGATGTATGGTGTGTGATGATGTCTGATGTCTGTCGTCTGATGTCAGACGTCGGATGTCTAATGTCTGACATCAGACAATAAAGACCAGACATTAGACATCATGCATACATCAGTCAACAGATACACCAGACATTAGACGTCTGAGATCATACATCAGACTTCTCACATCACCCGTGTGACATCAGACTTGAGACAGACATCAGATGTCTGACATCAGACAACAAAGTTCAGACATCAGGCGTCTGACACTAGACACCAATCATAATACACCAGACATCAGACACCAGACATTAGACGTCTGACATCAGAAAACAAACATCAGACATCAGGCGTCTGACACTAGACACCAATCATAATACACCAGACATCAGACGTCTGACATCAGACACCAGACATCAGACGTCTGACATTAGACAACAAACATCAGACAAACTATAATAGTGATATGAAAGTTTCTGGCTTTGGAAAAGGTAATTTATACATGAGATTACACAGGTGAATGTTAAAATATTCTTTCCCAGATTCCAAAGGACTGGAGTAGCGGTGGGTTTCAAAGGTTGCATCCGGGAATTTGAAACTGAAAAGGAAGACTTGGGAGAGAACCTCCTGGACCTTTCGATTTCAAAAGATCAAGATTCTGAACGTGAGCCCCATAATGTAAAGAAATGTGGATGTAAGGATGTGATTTGCAAAAATGGAGGACTTTGTATGGAAAGACTAAATGACTTCCGGTGCGATTGTCCCATCGGTTACACAGGACCCCAATGCCAGATTGTTGGTAAGTGTTACGATCTCACCAAGGAAATTTTAATCTTCCCAATCAGATGAGTTTAGAGAACACACCGAAAACAGCTAAATCGGGATCAGTCACGTTCTGCCTATGATTTACAAATTTTCTCTTTGTTGTTACAGTCTTCCTCCTGGTTTATGACTCCACTAGTCGGTAGTCCCGAGTAAAGAGGCTCGGTCACACTTGTAAAATATCCAACTGGTTTATCTCCTACCAGTTGAGATTTGTAACCATGTTATGTTCCATTTAATTTATTTGTTTCAGTATTTCTGTAAAGCCCCATAAGGGGAGAGGATAATTACAGTATTTGTAGTAGTATAAGCCAATGACATGTCCGATCTTTTCGGCGAGCAGTAATACGGCGGTTACCTGTTGTTCTTTGGGTATCCTGTCGTTGTTTAGGCTTAACAATCTGGATTTACGTTCATCGTTTTTGAACTCGTACAAGTAAACATTTTTTCCTAAGAGGTCTGCTAAGATGATTGACGGAACAGAAAAACCCCAAAATTTGCCAAACTCACGTGATACAACGAATTTCGCTATAATATGCTGTTTTAGGTTCGTAATGTACCAGGAGATAGCATTTCGAGCTCTACTGACTAAAATATACACATCTTAATTCTGAGAATGTGATAAAAAATTGTTATAATGTATTCATGATGCTTTTTTCAGCCTGTGGTAAAAACATCGTGTTTGACGTTGGATTCGCTATTGATGGCTCAAATTCAATAGACGACAATGAGTACCGCTTAACAAAGGACTTCGTAAAGGACGTTATCAGGATCTTTACAATCTCAGAGGAAAGTACCCACGTAGCCTTACTTGAATACGCTAGTGAAGCTTCAATAAAGGTGTACTTTGACGATGACGATTACTATCAGGCAGACAAGCTTCTTGAGAGAGTAGAACAACTGACTCAGGCCCAGGGTGCGTCTACTAATATTGGAAGAGGCTTAGAAAAAACGCTGGGAATGTTCAGTGCTGATTACGGGATGAGAGAGAAGGTGGGTTGAAGCCGTCAAATAATACACCTTTTCACGGTTTTTTCAACTTTTATATGGATCAGTTAAGGAAAATACGTCGACACCATTGAAAAGAGCGGCTTAAAATGAGTAAAATTGCCAAATTTGGAAATGATAGGTCTTTAGCGAGCGAGTTGCGAAAATTTACAGACGTTTGTTTGGTGGGGGGCAAGTTTGTGCCCCCCACCCCCCCCCCCCCCACCATACAAACGTCTGTAACATTTCGCGACTTTGAGGAGCTGGATACCGTATTTCTTCGAATAAGCGCCCAAACTCGAATTAGCGTCCATCTCGAATAAGCGCTCATCCTGAAGGCAAAAAAAGTTTCTAAGCGCCCAGCCTCGAATAAGCAACACCCCCACCCCACCCGAACTCCCTCCCACTCCCACTCAAACTCAAATAAGCGCCCACCCGCTTCCTCCCACCACCCAAAAAAATATTGAATAAGTATTAATAAGAGACTTCCCCGAAGAGGGAATTTTCTTCAGAGTATTTTACAGAAACCTTGCTTTGTTACATCTTCGCATTTTGTTATTATCATTTATTGTTTTGTTGCAAAATATACTTACTACGCTTGCTTAAAATGGTGAAAACTAAAATAAGCGCCCAGCGTCGAATAAGCGCCCACTCTCAATGTCCAAAAATTTAATATGCGCTCTGGGCGGTTAATCGATTAAATACGGTATATCTTCATTAATTTTTAATAAATCATTTTCAAACTTGGCAATTTTACTCATTTTAAGGCCATCTTTTCAGTGGTGTCGACGGATTTTAAAATTTTTTCAATTATCTGCCTAAACTGAAGGCTGAGGCAAATAACTGATCTACTCGCCTCGGACAAATCACAATATTTTGCGATAACCGAGTTCAATAATTGTTTTATCATTCGATCGCTCAGTTTATTTTTTAATGAAGCGGAGCGATCTGCCTTTTTGTACGCAAGAGCGATCGCAAGAAGGAGAAAATCATGGTTTCGTTTACGCATGAGCAGAATATTATTTGCAGCCAAACAGTTGAACGACGTTCCTCATCAGCAGACCATTATTTGTAGGCAGTCATTTACAGGTCACGTGGTGGGTTTTCGGCCAATGAAAAGGGAAAAATTTGCATCGAATGATAATTCTTCTTTTTACACGATCCGTCTAAGTACAATTTATAGAAATTTGGGTCGGAAATCGTTCCTAAATTTCTTATATCCACACCCAAAGATCTAAACAAATTTTCACCATTTTCAGCCATAAATGCACCACGTTTACCCCCAAAATTTTGCAACAACATAGGTTCAGGTTAGAATGTCATACTTTTACGGTATCTGTCGCGTACCATTTTTGTTCGGAAAACCGCTGTAAACCTATTTCTTTTATGCCGTTCTTGTTGACGTCGCCGCCGTCGTTGCGTAAGCTCTCTATTGATACCAAAACTTGCAACTTACAACCCTAAAGAGACAACTTGGCGTTTGCAAAAGTGTCCCTCGTCGGGCACCGTGTATTTCTGACCATTAGAATAATGACTAAAGTTTTGGTCAGTGGCGAAACCAGGGGACCAGGCGCCGCCCCCCCCCCCCCCCCCCCTTATTCTTGGACCAAACTGAGACCCGAAGGGCCGAAAAAGATTTTTTGGAGAGCGCCCCCACCCTTTCCTAAGGGTCTGGATGACCGCCACCCCCCCCCTTCCCCCCCTTATCTCAAGGTCTGGATCCGGCACTGTTGGTGATGCTGAGCTGATCATTATTTATGTTTCTCGTTCGTTTTTAAGGTGACAAAGCTCTTTATTTTCTTCACGGATGGAAAAAACACAGACCAAGATGAAGATCTGACTCCATATTCGCAGCAAATCAAAGCCAAGGGCATTAAGACAATTTCTGTGGGAGTGGGCAATGGGACAGACCTCAATGAACTGAGAATCATCGCTTCATCACCAAATAATGTGATTCAGCTGGAGGAGTTTGAACAGCTGAAATACATAATAGAAAAGTTAGTCCCTGCTGAGTGCAAAGGAAGCAAATGAAGGAATGGAGAGGGAAGGTAAGAGACTTTTCTATACATTGTTGATACGCCAATTATTGGATGAGGCTGATAATGATGTGAAGAGTTGTGCAAATCGATGTGGAGATCAGCATAATTATTCATATCATAAGAGGACGGAATCGCTTATTTTATTTTAAATTCGTTCAAAACATTATTTTATAACCTCAAGTAATGGTTTCCTCTATGTAAAGTTCTAGTCTACACTAAATATTAGGGAGCTTTCACAACCACAACGATGGTAGTCAGGGTTTAAAATGGTAACTTTGCTATTTATATGGGGGAAACTTGTTCCGGGTACTACTTGGACAGGGCCAACTTTCTTAAAATTCCTTATAAATGACCCTGGCGAACCGTTTATATGAGAAACAAGGCTAAACCACCTAAAAGTAAGTAAGTAAGTAAGTAAGTAAGTAACCTTTGTGGTCTAATACGCTTAGCTCATTACAGTATTTCAAGTATCGCTATTTTACCGGTATTGCCACAAACAGAAATAACGAAAATAAGAAAACAAAAACACTATGATACAATATAAAATATCTGTCTACAATATAAAAATATAGAAATATGTCAGTAATAAAATAAAAACTATGTACATTCCAATAATAATAATAGTAAAACTATTGACAGAATATAACTGTGACGTCAATTTTTTTCAAGCGTCTTTTAATGCTTCCGGTAATATCTAACCTAGCCAGGTCATTTTTTTTACTTTAGGGTTATCCATTCCTCTCGTTCTGGTCATTTTCTCTCCTTGTAAACACTTTGACTGCCCATCCGGGTCAACTCGGTCAAGGCGATACAATCAGAGCTTGCGCGAGCGCTAGTGTTGGCTAAGGCAAAGTGGTTAACTTTGTTCAGGAAAGAGGGTCACCCAGCCAAGTGAACTTGAGCGAGCGTTTATTGTTGACCCCTTTGCCCAAGGCAACAGCTTTCGCGCATGCTCTGATTGACTCGCCTTGCTTCAGTTGACGCAGCTGGGCGAGCCAGTGGGCGCTTTCCTATTCAACCAAAACTTTCGAAAATTTAAGAAACAACAACACTTGGTACAGAAATTTCCCGGAAAAGTTTCCAGAAATTCCTAAAACAGTTGAATTTCCGATCGCGAACCATTCAACCGAAAGTTCTAGAAATTCCGGGAGGAAAATGAGATTGCCTTCTTTTTAGAAATTTTAGAAAATGCTGTTCCATTGGCTATCGGAAGTTGCCAAAAATTGAAACCGGAGATTTTGGTTGAATGGAAAGCGCACAAGTGTTTGTGTGGAGAAAAGCTGGCCAGGGTAGGAGTTTAACCCGGTTTAATACCAGGTAGTTTACCCTTCTAGCCTTTTTCTGACTTTTTTGTTACTATCGCCGTTGTATGTTAGCCCGCAGCGTCTTGCCTGTTAATTTTATACCCTGGAAACTTAACAACAGGATTAAAAAATCGAAGCCGCAAAAAGCGATGGATGGTCTTTGTTTTGAGTTCGGAGTTTTATTTTCATTTATGATTAATTATAATTCCATGAAAATTTTTCCTCTTCTTTTCAGAGATTGGGACGAGAAGCGTCGTGAAAACTGTCACAGAAAGTCGGAAGGATTAACTAGACACTATTTTATAACAAAAGTAGCAACAGAAAACAGCTTCCCAAAATATAGCTTCACAGCGACTCACGGCTTGAGTTGTAATCGCAACTAGTATAAAAAATTTGGTCATCGAAGCGCCTATTTTGAACTCAAAGCAGACGCACTAATGATTTATAACGACTTATGATCTGCAGTAGCATCGCTTACTGTTTTGATTGTTTTATTGTGTGATTGTAAAGTATCTTGTATCAAGATTCTTTTATGCTGCTTATTTGTATAACAATAAAAAACGAAGCATTCAAGCGAGTTTTGATTGTCTTTACATACTGTAAAATTCCGAAAATAAGCCCCGGGGCTTATATTTTTCAAAGGCCCTTTTGAAGGGGCTTATCTATGGGAGGAACTTTGCGTCTTAAAATCGATTGGGCTCGTTCGTTATAGCCAGGACTTCGTTGTATGGAGGTTCGTTATACCGAGGTTCCACTGTATAACGAAATCTCGTTATAGGGGACACATTTTGCCAGTCCCTTGGCCCTTTGTTAAATCGAGGTTCCACTGTACTTACCTACTTACCTTGGTACCAGACTACCCCGGAACACTCCCTGAAACACCATCGGAACACCTCGAAATACCCCAGGGGCAGAAATCCCCCGGAACACCTTAAAGTGAAAAAAAAAAGAATTATAGTAGAAGGGCTGGATAGATACCTGACAAACAATGTGGGATACGGGAAAGTGTTCCAGAAGACGTAAAAAGTTAACGAGGGCGAAGAATAGTACATGGTTATGCTATACAGTGACTTCACTTTTTTTGTTTTTATTCAAAATGTAAGCTATTTTGCAGTAACACTTTCAAAAACCTCTCTGCTCAAAGAATTCAGTTATTTCTGTTATTCCTAAAAGAAGGTGAGACTTGAATTAATCTTTTCCCTTGCTTCTTTGTGCGCAATTTTTACTTCCTCCCACTCGTCTTGATTGGATTCGCCATTTGCACATCTCTTATAAGACACCTTGTTTTCCCCCAAAAAAACTTTGCATAACCTTTGTTTTTAATGTCTCCTGGGTATAACAGTGGTCCCAAGAGAAATAAAAATAAGACTTCAACCTAAAAAATTAAATGGCCCCCGAAAGAGTCGCTGCGTCGATAAGATTTTCTATGTACACCAAGTTACTGTCAGTTGGCTTATGTGGTGTTTGAGGTATTTTAAACTTGAATGTCTACTTCATCTACAGTCACAGGCCGCCCAGGCTCTGCACCTGAAGTTGGATGAATTTGAATTTTCGCGGTATTTTATAGAAATAAACAAAGAAAATACGTCCTTAAATTTGCCTATTGTCTGCTCCTGCGGAGGCCCTGTTTGACAAAATGTTTTACCACTTAACTACCTCAAAGTTGGTTTTAAATGGCTCTCTACCCAGTGTTGTGCTTTCGCCATTTGCATATCTTCCATAATACCTTGAGCGCTTACCATTTGTAAGGACATTTCGGTAAAAAATTCTGACAAATGGTACTGGTCTTGAAAACGTTTGCGAAAAGAGAAATGTGTCAGAGTTATACCATTTGCAAAACACCAGATAACGCGTGGCCGTGGGTTAAAACAAGTCACCCTCCGCCTGAAAAGGAAGCCTGGCATTGGTCAAACCAGACTATAATGGTTACAAGAACTTTCGGTCGTTTCGGTTAAAGCGGGAAAAAGGGAATACCTCGAAAGGTATTACTTATTTGCAGGAAAATTTCCACCGGGATGAACCGTTTCATTTGAATTCTCCCCGGAATTACCGGGTTTTCCATACAAATGGTAAGTGCTCCTTGTTTGCCCCACAGTGGGCCTTTGAAAAATGCCCGACTAATGCCCTTGGGAGGGGATAAGCACAATTGTTGATTGGGCCATTGTAAATATTTAAATGAAGCACCCCTACCCCGCCAAGTTCCATATTCCCACCCACTTGTGTCCAGTCTTCTCTCTTACAGTAGTTGCAAAAAACGCCAACGAGGTAGAAGTTAGCTGTGAGATGGCGCCGCTGTGAGATGGTGCTTGAAAGTGCAGCGGTCAAGGTAAGGCGTTTTAGCTCAACCTGAAGTTTTCTTATTAACAATGTGTAAAGTAAAAGGTTTTTTATATATATATTTTCCAGTGTCATTATAACCTGAATTATGTTTGTATTTTGTAGTTCAATGGAAGATTCACGAACGAGCAGTCAACGCTCAGGTGAATGCTGTTGACTTGGGAAAAGTTAAAATGTAAGTTGTGTTTCTTCCTGTCTAAAAAATAAGAAACTCAGTAGAGTTAAATCATTATACCTAAATTTGTTTAGAACAAACGCTACTGAAACAACGTGCTTTTCCTGCCAAATCTCTGGTGTGATAAAACATGTTTCAAGTTTTGTTCACGTGGAGTTGTTTACAACTATAGAGCTAAAGAGATTCACATTGGTTTTGCAGTTGTGTGTTAAGACATTGAGGGGCATACAAATGAGCAAGAAAGTAGAATTTTGTAAAACAACCCGCTGTAATTTTAACGCAAGCCAAACTTCAGCTGTGTTTTTGACCTGTCGCGCTGAATTTGTTGCCGCAGTGATAATGCACGTGCAACTTGAAACTAAAATTCATGGCGTGTTACTAAAACAATTTTTTTTCTGGTTTCTTCGTCTTTCCTTAAGTGGTTTTGTAAGATTTTGTTTAAAGATAAGGGAAAAACAACGAGCTTTTGCGATACAACTTTTATTTTAATTTGAGGGTCATAAAATTTGTGAACGAAAAAAACGGAAAAAACACAAACGCGGCACGTTTGATCAGCAAAACAATTTTAACTTGCATGTGCGATTTACATTTTGTACCATTTCCAATTCATTTCGTCCAAAACAACAACTCGCGAAGTATAATTCTTTTTAAAAACGGACTGTAGGGTGAGAAGTATTTATAATTTTTCCAGCCCCTCAGTGTAACTAAATTATGTTTGCATTTTCCAGCTCTTTGAAGTTTACAACATGGAGGATACCGTTGCTGGCTTGGGAAATTTCAAAACGTAAGTTGCATTTCTTGCAGTTCGAAACATAACAAAATTAGTGCTGCTAAATTCACTATGGTTAATAGCTTATTCCCCCTTCAAAATTCTTGGACCGACGTATTTGCGCGAAGTCGTGTTTCAAGTTTTGTTCAGTTTGTTTTCAACTCTGTTTGGTAGAGATACCTAATCCAAGGAACTCCCAATTAATTTTTACCGGCAAAAAAGAAATAGTGGAGCGCAAATATTAGTGTGGAGCGTAAATATTGGTAGGAAAATTAAAAATTTGCTTTTGAAATAGGAAAGTAAGCCAATCGCTGTTTTCTTAAACTTCAGAAACTTCGCGCGTTAATGTTTTTCCAAAAAGACTTTGCACGTGCAAACTAATATGTATGCTAAATCGGTTTAAATCA